TTAGTACAAATGTACTTGTTTATAATTTGAAGTGATGTATTTTCATGATTTTCCAGTAGTGCTAATTCCTATAGAACAAATATTTTCTCAAAATATTTCTCCAATATTTTCTCAAAATTGATGGTGTATTTTTATCCACTAAATACACATTTTCTTGTTTAAAAAAATAGAATTGAATACTTAGATAATGAAATTTTGGAGAACCGTCTAAGATTAGAAGCAATAGAATTATGTCACAAAGGAATTTTTCAGTGGTTTAAGTATAAATTTAAATACTTTTAAAAATGTCAAGATATGAACTGATAAAATATTTTCTGCAAAATTGAGAGACTAAATGTTAAGATGTTTGTTATACAAAGAATTGATGTCAACCGAGAAATTTAAAAAACATTGAAATCAAAATTAAAAAATCAACAAAGGAAATACACCATATTGAAGAGAAGAGATATATTAGTAAAACCAGTGTTTGAGGGAAAATAAAGTTGAAACACACTAGTATTAAAATAAATGTAATTTAAAACAATAGTATGTCTCCATTTTCACCTGTCACATTTGCAAATAATTTATTTTATTTTTTAACATCTTTATTGGAGTATAATTGCTTTACAATGGTTTGTTAGTTTCTGTTTTATAACAAAGTGAATCAGCTATACATATATATATATATATATACATATCCCCATATCTCCTCCCTCTTGCATCTCCCTCCCACCCTCCCTATCCCACCCCTCTAGGTGGTCACAAAGCACCAAGCTGATCTCCCTCAGCTATGTGGCTGCTTCCCACTAGCTATCTATTTTACATTTGGTAATGTATATATGTCAATGATACTCACTTTGTCCCAGCTTACCCTTCCCTGTCCCCGTGTCCTCAAGTCCATTCTCTACGACTGCTTCTTTATTCCTGTCCTGCCCTTGCAAATGGTTTTAATGACAATGTTTTATAATTTAACCACCAGTATTTAAAGTGATGAATTTTGTAAGGGAGACTTAATTGAGATATCCAACTCCTTTCTCTTGGTGAGCAGACAGCTATCCAAACTCCTCAGTCAGAAAATGGATTTTGTATGACTCTTTTATTCAGGCAACAATCCAATTATTAGAATATGATATATGTGATGTTATATAATTGTTTTGGCATAACTAAATATCTTGTTCCAGAAAAATCTTTGACTATAGTTATGACAGGGGAAATAAGACACCTGGGCTTCAAGCCTTTCTGTATAAATATTAAACAGCAGTCGACTTAAAAAGCAAAACAAAGCCAAACACAAACAAGCCAATTAAGAAACAAACAGGGGTGGTTTCCAGACCCAGCTTCACCTATGTCATTTTAGGCCATGGCTAAATGTACTTCCATGGAGCTTGAGAGATTCCTGGGACCTGAACAGACTTAAATTGGTAGTAATATTTCCTCCAATTACCTCATTGTCCAGGTGAATTCATGGCATTCATTGTCAGCTAAACAAACTTTGGATATGACTAAATATGTCTCTCAGTACTCTTGTTAAGGAGCATTATACATAACTCTTACACTTTGCTGCAATGATAAAAGAGACACTGGTGTGGCATGACAGCTAGTCTTACATATTGCTGGTGGCAATATAAACTCTTGAGAATACAATTGACAGTCAAGAAGAATAAAAATGTTTATATTTTTACTTTGGTTGATTGATAACTTAATTCAATAATATATGATCTGGTACTTCCATCCCTAGGAATCCATCCTAAGGAAGTAATCCATCATAAGGAAGTAATCCTGTACATGAAAAGTTGGAAAATATCCAAATGTGATGTAAAATGGAGATGAATAGCTATAATCCAATTGTCCAATATCATTGGCCACACAACCCATTTTACATCCTCTTGATGGAGAATCATGTAATCATTAAAAATGATCATGAAACGTATGTAACAATATTAAAACGTTTATAAACCATGGTATATTATCTGCAAAAAAAGTATTAGAACTATATTTTTAGTATGATTACAACTAGATAAAATATATGTATAGAAGGAAAAAGAAAGGACATAATAATTAAAAAATACTATAAAGATAGCAAAGCTTATGTAGGATCATATTTTTAAAAATATGTTGTTTTCCATATTGTCTATAATATGGCTATATGATTTGCATAAAGAAAAATAGGCCAGATAAGGAGATGGTGAAGGGAAACACAAAAATCCAATCATTAAATAGTATATATCTCACAGCCTTGTTTCCTTCCTACCCACTCCACACCCAGACTAATGTTTACTTTTACTTGCTCAAAACACTTAATATGATCCCATTGCTCTAAGGATGAAATCCAAACCCTTTAATATGTTTACAAGGACTTACCTAGCTCTGAAGCCCCTTATCTCACCTTTCTGCTGCCTTGCTCTCTGTCAGTCAAATTGAACTCCTTTAATTTCACAAACGGACTGTGGTGTCTCTCAGCTCTGGCATTTCACAAGCCTTCATCTAAACATCATTTCCTCTATGTTTGGGTAAAATGCTAGTCTCATACTCTTCCACTGCATTCTATTCTTCCCCAATCATAATACTCATTACACTATTAAATTTCAGATATATATTTTATACCCTCTGTTAAATTGTAAGCTCTGTGAGGCAATAACTGTAACTATTTTTTCACCATTCATTCAATTTATAAATAGCACATTCTATATTCCAGACACAGCTCTAGGTGTTGATAATTTAACATTGTAGTTGGGTAGAAAGACAACAAACCAATAAACAAATAGATTTGTAATATAAAGTCATCAGAATAAGAGATCTGAATGTGATGGTGAATGCTATTTTAAAAGCGTGGTCAGGTAAGACCTGTCTTGAGCACCAATCTGAGGATGGGTCACTTGAACAGTAACCTGAATGAAGTGAAGAAGAGAGCCTTGTGAATTATGGGGGGAACACTATTTCAGGAAGAGGAATAGAACCTGAAGCAATGGCATGCTAGAATGTTCCAGGAACCATGAGGAGGACCAGGGAGGCTGGAATGCAATAAGAGAGGGAGAAAGGAGGTCAGGCGAGTAGGCAGAGCCTTGGAGTATCCCTTAACTTTAGTCTCTATTCCTTCAAGTGAGATGGAACACAAAACATTTCCCAGAATTACTTGACTGTGGACCACTTATTTATTTATGTATTTATTGGCTGCACCGCACGGCATGCAGGATCTTAGTTCCCCAACCAGGGATCAAACCTGTGCTCCCTGCATTGGGAGCACAGAGTCCTAACCACTGGACTGCCATGGAAGTCCTGGACCACCTGTTTAATGGATCATTTTCAGGGATTGTGGTTCCATAGTTTGGTAAATGCTGCTGTAGAAAGGTCTTGGTTTTCGAGAAGAGCAAGTTGGATATCACAATATCCTGGAAATTCAAGTTCAAGTCCAATTCAAACATTATGATGACACAAGGGGAGGGGGTAGGATACAAGAGACCTTACCTGGCTACAGGATTTCCTTTCCACTCCTAGGTCACCTTTACTTCTTTTTGTTTTCTTGGTCAAGGTGTGAAAAAATCCATTTATCCTATGGCTCAGCCAAAAGAGGCTGGACTTTTTCAAATAAATATTTTACTGAAAACTAAAGGAGACATAATCATGGAGACATAAAGGCCTAAATAATTGCAAAGACAGAGACCTTCCTGTCTTGAAGGTCTGAGAACCATGTCTTAACTCTATGGGCAGAGACTACCTGTGCTGATTCCACATTCCTTGTTGGCCACATCTGCTCCCTCTTGAGATGGTCCTCCTTGCAGCTTGGGTTGGAGGAGCTCTCCTTGCACACTCTCCTGGCTGCTCTCAGGAAATGCCAAGTCCCTGGTCTGGCAGATCTGCAGATCTGTATTTTGGGTCTAATCATGCTTCTCAAGTGAGCTATGTTCATGACAATAATCTGCCTGACCCCATTTTACTTCCCAAAAGACACATTTACTTCCTGGATCCCCTGCTCTATTCAAACCATCTATTCTCCCCTGCCTCCATCCCCCCTGCCCGCCCCCCACCCCCAATGCATGGAAGTAGATATCTCAGTCTTCTCAAAGGTGATTTAGTGCCCACACAAGGAACAGTTGGCTTCTGGTGATTCTGGATCCAAGAACTCTCACTATCACTAAGCTCTAGTGCCCCTTCTTAGGCCCACGCCAGGTTCTGTGGCATCTTTCTTTCCCACAAGTCCAGGGACTTAGCCTGTTTCTCTTTCATTTGTCACAAAGTAAATACATTTTCCTACCAGGGTTCTCTCTCCCAACCCTAGCTGCAGAATCAGATGCTACCTCCTCAGACACTCACTTCTTCAAAGTTAAAAAAGTCTTTTTTCTTCTTAATTTAAGAGTTTTATTGAAAATCATGATGGGAAAATAAACAAGGGGCATCACATGAGAACACATCACACAGGCAACAAGTTGTTGACAATTCTTTCCGTTTCTGTTATGTTTCTAATACTATGGACCCCTTCTGAAATGTGATACACAAGCACACTCAATACTAAGACAAGACACATTGAAATGAATGCCTTTATACCATGAGTACATATTTTTTTTTTGTTTTTTTAGGGTTTTTTTTGTGTGTTTTTGCGGTACGCGGGCCTCTCACTGTTGTGGCCTCTCCTGTTGCAGAGCACAGGCTCCAGATGCGCAGGCTCAGTGGCCATGGCTCACGGGCCCAGCCGCTCCACAGCATGTGTGATCTTCCCGGACCGGGGCACGAACCTGTGTCCCCTGCAACGGCGGGCAGACTCTCAACCACTGTGCCACCAGGGAAGCCCCATGAGTACATATTTTTAATCCTAATTTTAAGGTCCCATCAAAGTTTGGCTTTGGTAATGAAATTTACGAGGTAGCTGGCTATTGGTCTCTTTTGTCAACTTTAACCTTACCTGGAACGGATGTAGAAGAATCAATGTTTCAAGTTTTAAAGTTCAAGTTTTCCACTGAGACAAATTTTAATTTGTGCCAAATAGAGGTCTGATAGGCGCCTCAGTAAGATACTCTGGAGCGACTATGGTTGGCCAGAGTAGGTAGTGTCTAGTAAGTGGCAGAGTCAGAACTGGAATATCTCTATCCCCTATTCTAAAGTCGGTAGACTATAGCACAGTCTCTCATGACTCCATCACTCTATGCAGCCATCACTGTCCAGATACCCCAGCCTCTCTGCTCTCCAGCCCTCAGATGCCCTTGATAAAGAAAATATTTTTCACTTGACCTAAAAACATCCTTTCCTGTGATTCCAGCAATCCCTCTCAATTTTTGAAAATGTGTCCTTTGTCCCTCCTGGAGATCTCTGTGGCTCTGGGCCTGGAAGTCCTTCTTTCCCCCAGATGGATTTCATTCTGATGAAATGAATTTGATTGATCAGTAAAGTGACCATCTTAATTGGTAAGACCTATACCTTGAGGTGAAACTCACTGTGCCAGGGCCTTGAAATATTATAGTGAATAAAATTTGACCTACTTATTCACTATAATATTTCAAGGCCCTGGCACAGTGAGCTCTCAAGGAGATAACGGAGAGCAGAAAATAGACTCCTGGGGGGATTTGTGAAGGAGAGTGCAGGGAGGAGAGGCTGGAGAAGTAGATACTCGTAGGAAGTGTTATGCCAGTTGAGGACCTTGGTCCTTATCCTGCAGGTTGATGATGGAAAGTCATGGAAAGATTTGGTGTAGGGGAATAAAACAGGCAGCACAGAGGATGTATTTAGGTGGGATAACCCAAAGGGGCAGAAAGACAATATTATAACAATCTAGGACATAGTTCTCAAAGTAATGTCCTTGTATCAGCAGCCTCAGCATCACTTGAGAGTTTGTTGGAAACCCAAATTTGTGGACCCCGCCCCAGAACTAATTTGTTCTAGGTTTATTGAGGTATGATTGATAAATAAAAATTGTGTATATTGAGGGTGTACAGCATGCTGTTTTGATACACATATACGTTGTAGAACAATTACTAAAATCAAGCTGATTAACATATCCATCACCTCACATAATTTGCATTTTTGTGTGTGTGGTGAGAACTCTTAATATCTACTTTCTTAGCAGATTTCAAGTATACAATACATTATTATTAACTATACCCACCATGCTGTATGTTAGATCCCCAGAACTTGGTCATCTTCTAACTGAAAGTTTGTACCCTTTAACCAACATCTCCCCACTTCCCCAACCCTCAACTCTTGGCAACCACCATTCTACTCTCCATTTCTACTCTCTGAGTTCAGATTTTGTAGATTCCACATAAAAGTGAGATCATGCAGTATTTGTTTTCCTATATCTGGCTTATTTCATTTAGCAAAATATTCTCCAAGGTCATCCATATTTTTGCAAATGGCAGGACTTTCTTTCTTAAGGCTATTGTACATATAAACCATATTTTTCTCTACCCATTTATCCATTGATAGACACTTAGATTGTTCCCATATCATGGCTATTGCGAATAATGCTGCTATGACCATGGAAGTACAGAGATCTCTTCAAGTGCCCAGAACTATCGAATCAGAAGCTCTGAAGATGAAACCCAGCAATCTGAGTCATAACAAGCACTCTAGATGATTTTGATGCACGGTCGAATTAGACAAGTACCTGCCTAGGAAAATGTCCATGAAGGACTGAATTACTATGAGTGGTAAATGTGGAAAGGGTGGCTTGTGGTAGAAAATCATTTGGAAGGTAAAATCAAAGAGATATATATTTGATTAATTGCACGAAGAAGGTGAGTGACTCTCTGGATCTCTGCATTCTTGTCATCAGTAGGAGAACAGTTTTATAGAATCTTGGCCCGTCTATTTCCTGCAAAATATCTAAAATATATCAAAATAAAGAAAAAAGTATTTGTAGAGTTGAGAGTGGTTTGATCCCTCTAAGTCCCCCATGATTCATTCTTACTTTAACGTCTGGACAGCTATCAGGCTATTTTACTTTCCCATTTCTTGAAGTTCCAACATGGGGCTTGAAATAATGAAGGACTTTACCTCCATCGAGGTCTTGCCATGTAACAAGTCTATTGTGTTCATAATTTATCCATTTAAAGGACATTCTTACTTTAAGAGATATTTCTTGAACATTAACCATTTCAATCTTTCATTTCCTGGAATAAATAATATTAATCATCTTGGGTTTTGCAGAAGGGGTTTTATTCTTGGAAATATTTTCATATCAATTTAAACCAATTTTCATCTTGAGTCAGATATAAAAGGCTAGGTAACCCTTCATTTCAGCTGCCTTCTCTCAAAATGTACAGGTTATTTGTACTTGTATTTCAATTTGGGATTTGTTCCTGAAAAGCCAATAATTGGATACTGGTGAAAATGTCTCAAATGAACTACAGAGCTAGAAAATCTCTCTTTCAGCCAAACCATCTCAGTTAAAGTTCTATGAACTAGCAATTCCTGTGAATATTTTAAATTTTATCACATAAACTTCAGTGGTCAATACAAAGCCATCTCACTTATCAAAGTGATGTTTCTGCTATCCTGAAAGTAAAGTCAACTTCAGAAAAGCAAATTACTTCTGTTTTAACAGTCAATGGGGTATGCATTTATCCATTGCCCTTTTCTCATATATTTAGCACATGTTTATTGAGGACCTACTATAGGCAAAGAACTTTGCTAAATCCTGTGGAGATATAAATGGATCAGGAACCCAGACCTAAAGCTCACAGTCTATGGGAAAGACAGATCCCTTCTCTGCCATGGCAACCATTATCCATACCCAACATTTACACCAAAGAAAGTTCTTTGACCCTTGAAGCCACTTGAGTCCTCTTAACACCCCTGTGGTTTCTCTCTTGCCTGGACAGTAATTTCTAGTAAAGTCAGGCAGTTTCTTATAAGACAGTGCCAGACTTATTTTAGGAGCCATTTATAAACCTGATATAATTCAATATGGATAAACTTAAGTCCCTAAACATATACCCCAAATCTGAACAATGTAGGTAGATGACAAAAAGATGTGTTTTTTAAGTGGCAAAATAAAAATGGCCTGAGCCACACATGGATGGAGAGCTTGATATGAGTCAGTGAATTCAGCTTAGGCCACTTCAAAGTGGAATATTCAGAATAAGCAGATAATGTTTCTCTTTTTCTGCACTAATCAGACCACACAGAATATTAAGTTCAGTTCTGGGCACAAGAAAGAAACATTGAAGGAGTTTTCCTATTAACTAGAAAACATGGTTCTGATACATACAAAATAAACAACGTGTAATAGTCCTTTTGTAAAGGTGTTCAAGCTTTCTCCATGGATAAGGAGTTTGAGGAGGAGAAGATGTCCAGTCCCCCCTGGCCAGTGTCATGGGTGTGATATTCAGCTGGGCTACCGAGTCCTGCTCTTTTGCCACCACACATTTCCCCCTGATTTTGGCTAGCTGTCTCACAACTGAGTGACATTAGGGACAAGATGAAGCCCTGGGAAACATTGCAAATGCACAAAGAAAAAAATTTAACCCCAGTCTAGGAAATACCATTCATTATTGGGATTATTCAAAAGTGAGAAATTTTAACTCATCCCTTAACATGAACTTATTAAATAAATATTTGGGAAGAGAGGATGGCAGAGACAGAGAAGGGTGGAGGGAAAAGGGGAAAAAGAGGAAGAAAATGAGCAAAGTGTTTCTGAAATAATTTGTGATAATAAAGTTGCTGACTGTGGGAGTTTTTATTGCCAGAGAGTGAGAACATAGAAACAAACTGTCAGCTTGGCAGGAAGACTCCTTTTCCCAGCGGTTATACTGTGAAAAGAAGGTGGATTGCAGCATTTTGCAAACAGATCGAGTTAAATGAAACAAAAAATATAAATGACTGCTTGAAGAGAAAACTTATTTACCTCATGGGAGATTCAACACTGCGTCAGTGGATTCACTACTTACCAAAAGTGGTTAAAAAGTATGTAATTTATTTTTACTTTGAAACTATAGTTGCCTTCAGAGGTTATTTTTATAGAATTCTTTGCTTCCCTTTTCTGACGTTTATTATTTTTCAAAATTTGCCAAATATTTGGATTTGGGCTTTTAATAAAAAGTTAAATTTTATTTTCTTCATTCACAAATATTAACATTTTCTTCCTCTTTCTCTATGCTGATAATAAGTTCAAAATTTTGTTAAGATTTGAATGCATCTGTTAAAGTTCCCTTCCTCCCACAGGCAGCAGTGCTCTTAAAGTTAGAAGTGATCTTGGCTAGAATTTTACAAATACATGCATTTAAAAATTATATCATTATTTTCCTTTTGCTAAAAGATTTATTGATTTTTTTTCCCATCAGCCTTAAAATGTTTTGATCGTCATGGAGCTGGGATCTTTAAAACACATGTGCTTCTGGATGCTGAAAGACATATTTTGATTCAGTGAAAAAAGCATGGTCATCCATTTATTACCAAAAATCTGTTCTCAGTGAAGGATGAAAATTATATCCCATGGGAAATTGACCGGGTAGCCGGAGACAATGACACAACCATTGTCATCACTCTTGGTCAGCACTTCAGACCCCTCCCCATCAAAATCTTTATCCGTAGGGCCATCAATGTTCAAAAGGCCATTGAACATCTATTCTTGTGAAGCCCAGAGACCAAGATGATCCTGAAAACTGAAAACACCAGGGGGATGTCTCAAAATGCAGAGATGTTTAGTGACTTTCATGGTTCTATTCAGAATCTTATCATGAGGGATGTTTTTGTGGATCTCAACGTGGGTATTATTGATGCCTGGGACATGACTATTGCATATAACACTGATAATGTTCATCCACCTGATTATGTGATTGGAAATCAGATTAACATGTTCTTAAACTACATTTGCTAGAGGAAAAATACAAAAAAAGCCAGTACCAGCCATTCTCTATAGATGACCTCACTTATACTGCAAGGATGGTTTAATGAAATCCAAGGTAGGAGGAAACAAAATAAAAATAATTATTGTTAAAATATACGTAACATAAAAATTACCATTTAAACCATTTTAAGTGTACAATTCAGTGGCATTAATGACATTCACAATATTGTGCAACCACCATCTTGATCTATCCCCAGAATTTTTCATCATCCCAAACAGAAACTTCGTATCCATTGAACAATAATTCCCCTCCCCCCAGGCAACCACCATTCTACTTTCTGTCTTTATGAATTAAACCATTCTAGGTAGCTCATATAAGCGGAATTGTATAGTATTTGTCCTTTGTGCTGGCTTATTCCACTTAGTATAATGTCTTTAAGGTTCATCCATGTTGTAGCATATGTCAGAATTCCCTTCCTTTTTTAAAGCTGAATAATATTCCATTGCATTATGTGTATATCACATTTTGTTTATCCATTCATCTGTTGATGGACACTTGGGTTGTTTCCATCTTTTGGATATTGTGAATAATGCTACTATGAAGAGGAAACCAAATTGGAAAGATTGTTTCCAGTACTGAGTATGATGACAGAACAGCAAAACATCATCATTCATAGTTTGATTTTAAGAAATGTAAGGCCTGGAAAGGAGCAGTCTAAATGATTCAAGTTTACAGAAAATGTGAAATGTAGGAGGAAACTTAGTGAAATCATAATAACAGTCTTTGTGCTTAAGATAATTATTTGAAATTTGGTAAACAGTTTTTCTCTAGATTTCAGTAAGAATCAGAGATCACAGTCCAAACCCACAAACTCATTGAGAAAAACCAACTAGTATTATGTCAATGTACAGACCCTACAACCCTGGTTCTTGCTGATCTTAAAAGTATGAGATGAGATCCTCTCCAGAGGACCTCAAATGACTTTATAAGCTTTGTCTCTAAACTGTCCTCTCAGAATAAAAGTATCCTCCATTTCTATTAATATACTTGAGGTCACATGAGTGGAAATATTGTTACTCCAGGGTGATATCTTTGTTTGGACTGTGTTTCTTAGGGAGAGGAAGTGAAATTATAGTACTGTAACATCAGTATAAAGGTCAATCCATACAGCTTAGGACGAGGCTCCTCTAAATAAGGAAACACACATTAGAAATCTTTTCTTTTGGTTCTAATTCTTTGCATAGGAAACTTTCGAAATAAACCTAATCGTTCTTCCAATCATTGCATTCTTAAATGCTTATATGACTTATCATTGTCCCACCAAAGTTACCTTAAGTTCGTTTAACCTAATTCTGAGTTGATAGAGTTTCCAGTTTTGTTACCATTACTCTTCTCTGATTGCAATGAAGTGTGTCTGTGTCATTCCACAGCATGTTTCTACCCCATCTCTCTCCTCAAAAAATTGAATGCTCTAATTTAAATGTGATAAATCAGCATTGAAAAATGAGGGTCTATTACTTCACTTGTTCTAAAGCTGAACTGTACAATATTATAGCCATTAGTCACATGTGGCTGTTTAAATTAAAATTAAATTAAATTAAAAATCATTTCCTTGGTTGCACTGATCACATTTCATGTTCAGTAGCCACATGTGGCTAGTGGCACTGTACTGACAGCACAATATTTACTTACATTTGTTGCTGGAGATTATTTTTTAACGTTTTGTTGTAGTATTTGAATGTGTTTTTAATAATAAGGCCAATGATATATTGTAGTTTTTTACAGTGAGTAAAAAAATTATTAAATGTTGCTAAGTGTCAAACTCTTGACTTTTAAGCCATTTTCTTCTGGTTCAGTCTTTTAAAGAAATCCTGGTACCTATATAGTTCATAATTCTTTGGCCTTGAAGTGATAGCTTCAGATTATTACAGATATTGACTATGTTGCTTGTGTATTTACAAGACTTGAGCAAGCCATTTGAAATGTAAAGATATTCTTTACTGGTATTATCAAGTCTCTTTCAAAAGCCCATGTATGTATAAGGAATGAAACTAGAAATCAATAACAAAAGGAAAACAGGAAAATTCACAAATACATAGAAATTAAACAGTGGACTCTTTTTTTTTAACATCTTTATTAGAGTATAATTGCTTTACAATGGTGTGTCAGTTTCTGCTTTATAACAAAGTGAATCAGTTATACATATACATATGTCCCCATATCTCTTCCCTCTTGCATCTCCCTCCCTCCCACTCTCCCTATCCCACCACTCTAGGTGGTCACAAAGCACTGAGCTGATCTCCCTGTGCTATGCAGCTGCTTCCCACTAGCTATCTATTTTACGTTTGATAGTGTATATATGTCCATGCCACTCTCTCACTTTGTCCCAGCTTACCCTTTCCCTTCCCCGTATCCTCAAGTCCATTCTCTTGTAGGTCTGCATCTTTATTCCTGTCTTGCCCTTAGGTTCTTCTGACCATTTTCTTTCTTTCTTTCTTTCTTTCACTTTTTAGATTCCATATATATATATATATATATATATATATATATATATATATATATGTTAGCATATGGTATTTGTTTTTCTCTTTCTGACTTACTTCACTCTGTATGACAGTCTCTAGGTCCATCCACCTCACTACAAATAACTCAGTTTCATTCCTTTTTATGGCTGAGTAATATTCCATTGTATATATGTGCCACATCTTCTTTATCCATTCATCTGTTGATGGACACTTAGGTTGCTTCCATGTCCTGGCTATTGTAAATAGAGCTGCAGTGAACATTGTGGTATATGACTCTTTTTGAATTATGGTTTTCTCAGGGTATATGCCCAGTAGTGGGATGGCTGGGTCATATGGTAGTTCTATTTTTAGGTTTTTAAGGAACCTCCATACTGTTCTCCATAGTGGGTATATCAATTTACATTCCTACCAAGAGTGCAAGAGGGTTCCCTTTTCTCCACACCCTCTCAAGCATTTATTGTTTGTAGATTTTTTGAAGATGGCCATTCTGACCAGTGTGAGATGGTATGTCATTGTAGTTTAAACAATGGACTCTTAAACAATTACTGGATCAAAGAAGAAATCACAAGGGGATTTAGAAAATATTTGGAGGCAAGTGAAATAAAAACCACTATATGTCAAAACTTATGTGATACAGTGAAAGCAGTGCTATGAGAGAAGTTTATTGTGGTAAATACTTACACTAAAAAAAGAAGGAAGTTCTCAAATCAACAAACTAAACCCAAAATGAGTAGAAGAAAGAAAATCATGAAGGCTAGAGCAGAGATAAATGAAAGAAGAAAACAATAGAGAAAAAATCAACAAAAGCAAGAGTTGATTTTTTTTTGAAAATATCAAAAATTTGACAAGTGCTTAGCTAGACTAACTAAGAAAAAATGAAGAATCAAATGAAGTTAGAAAGGAAAGAGAGGACACTACAACTGATGTTACAGAAATAAAAAAGATTATGAGACTGCTATGAACAATCATCAACCAACAAGTTGGACAACCTAGAAGAAATAAATAAATCCCTAGAAACATACAACCTACCAAGACTGAAGCATGAAGAAATAATAAATCTGAACAGACCTGTAACTATGCTGAATACAAACTGTTCTTTAAAGCAGTAATCAAAAACTTCTCAACAAAGAGAAGCCCAGGACAAGATGGCTTAACTGGAGGATTCTACCAAAGATTTAAAGAAGAAATAATACGAATCCTTCTCAAATTGTTGCAAAGAATAAAAGAGGAGGGAACATTCCCTTTGAGTGTTCAATGAAGCCAACATTACCAGATACCAAAACCAGACAAAGACACAACAACAACAACAACAACAGAAACCACTACAGATCAATATCCCTGATGAACAGTAATACAAAAATCCTAAACACAATAGTAGCAAACCGAATTCAACAGCATATTAAAAGAATCATACATTATGATCATACATCATTTATATCTGGAAACAAGGATAGTTCAACATACAAAAATCAATCAGTGTAATGTACCACATTGATAAAAACTTGATTGTCTCAATCAGTGCAGAAAAAATATTTGACATAATTCAACACCATTTCATGATAAAAACATTAAACAAACTAGGAATAGAAGGAAACTACTTCAACATAATAAAAGCCATATTTGAAAAGCCCACAGCTAACATCATATTCAACATGGAAAGACTGAAAGCTTTTCCTCTAGAATCAGGAAAAAGGCAAAGATTCAACATAGTACAGGACATTCTAGCCAGAGCAATTAGATAAGAAAAAGAAATAAAAGGCATAAAAATTGGGAAAGAAGAAACAAAATTATCTCCATTTCCAGATGACATGATCTTATATATAGAAAATCCTAAAGATTCTACAAAAATACCTGTTAGAACTAATAAACAAATTCAGCAAAGTTGTAGTATACAAAAATCAACACTCAAAAACCAGTTGCAGGCTTCCCTGGTGCGCAGTGATTGAGGGTCCGCCTGCTGATGCTGGGGATGCAGGTTCATGCCCCGGTCTGGGAAGATCCTGCATGCTGCGGAGCAGCTAGGCTCATGAGCCACGGCCGCAGAGCCTGCACGTCTGGAGCTTGTGTTCCACAACGGGAGAGGCCACAACAGTGAGAGGCCCACAAACCCCTCCAAAAAAGAAAACAGTCCTATTTAGTATAGACTCAAAAAGGAATTAAATATTTTGGAACAAACTTAATCAAGGAGGTGAAAGACTTGTACACTAAAAAATACAAAACATTGTCAAAAAAAATTCAAAGAGGTTACAGATAAATGGAAAGGCATCGCATACTTGTGGACTGGAAGACTTAATATCAAAATGTTCATACTTCCCAATGCAATCTACAGACTCAATGCAATACTTATCAAAATTCCAATGGTATTTTTTTGTGGAGATAGAAAAAAATTTCTAAAATTCATATGGAATCTCAAGGGACCCTGAATAGCCAAAACAATCTTGCAAAAAAAAAAGTTGGAAGACTCAGACTTCCTGATTTCAAAATGATACTACAAAGCAGTAATAATTAAGGTGGTGTGGTACTGGCATAAAGATAGATATATAAGCCAATGGAACAGGATAGAGAGTATAGAAATAATCCCTTGCATATATGGCCAAATGATTTTTACCAAGGGTGCCAAGCCTAAACAGTAGGGAAAGAACACCAAGGGTGTTGTGGAAACTGGATGTCCACATACAACACAATGAAGTTGGACCCTTACCTTATACTGCATACAAAAATAAACTCAAAATTGATTAAAGACCTAAACTATTAAACTTCTAGAAGAAAACATAGGGGAAATCTTTAGGACTTTAAATTTGGCAATGATTTCTTTGATATGACACCAAAAGCACAAATAACAAAATAAACAGACAAATGGGACTATACCACGAACTTAAAAACTTATGCATGCCAAAGGAAACAATGCATGAAAAGATAGTCTAAAGAATGGGAGAAAATAA